GAGAGGGAGAGTGAGAGAGTTGAGTGAGAGGAGAACCCGTTTCGCGTGTTTTCTAATTTCAGTGGGTTTGGGCTGAAATTTTACAAAAAGATGTTTACATTGTTTTCCATTTTCAGTTATTTATTTTTTCATTTTTCGAAACACGTTTTCGAAAATAAGATAGAGAACGCGTTTTTGCTGTTTTGAAAAATTAAAAATAGAAAATAGTTGGAAAACGACAAAGAGAACGGGCTTTAGCTTCTGTTTATTTGTCATTTTCCAATTCATTTGTAGAAAAATTTGGACTGTTAGTGGGCCCGCTTGTGAGATACAAGGTCAAATATTACAACTGAAATTGACAAGTAACGGCTCTATTTCTCATTTTTATGCCCAAATAATGCACCCCAAACGGAGGCTTAGTCTCGTTTGAACCACATTTTATTCAAAATATATTTTTTCTCCCCTAGTTCTAGTCATACATTCTCCAATAAAATAAAATGACAAGTAAATTAAAAAAAAAAAATTCATTCTTTTTCAACAACACATTTTCAAAAAATCCCCACTTCACAATATATTTTTTTCTCAAAATCTTATTTGTTTGAGCCCCATTTTTTGCAAAAAAAAAATACATTTTGGAATAGTGATTTGAAGAAAAATGTTTAATTTGAAAATTAGGAAACAGGACAGGGCAGGTGAGGGCCGTCAAGGATGTGGTTCATGTTTTACGTGTAATATTATTTTATTGAATAATGTATGATTGAAAATAAGAAAAAAGAGAAATGTATTTAAAAAAAATGATGAAAACCAAACAAAGGCTTGAAATGGAGCCCTAGGGCTTAGACAATCTATCAAAGTAAATTCAAAAAAGACATTCTCTAGTACAACCCACTTACGATCACCCACGTTCCTTTCCTTTTCTCTCGCTTCTTTCTCCATTCTTTGTCTACTTGTACATTGATCTTCGTTCATAGTACATTTTTACTATAAAAGTGATTGAAATGGAGATTTGAATCAAGATTAAAGTCTCTTTTTTGGCATCATTTCGAATCAAAACATATCAAGAAACCCATTGCTCATCTCCCCTTCATCTCCATCTTTAATTCTTCCCTTCTTCGATTCAAGGTGTAAAGATTCTGTAAACCCTACTTTACGCCCACTGAATAAATTTCGCTCATATTCCATATATCAGTACATCTTTAACTGTGTTTTCCTTTCTCTTTTATATATATATCTGGATCAATAAACAACAAATTGATGCTGACAAGAAGTGAATTTATAATTTCAAGGCATCCACAGGGACTAAAGTGTAAGATTTTCAAACCCACTTCATATTCTTGTGTTTTAAACTCTGGCATTTCTGGTCATTTTTATTTATTTTGGATTTTTCATTTTTGTTTGAATATAGATCGTTGAAATTTAGAGCAAAAGTATATATATCGTTAACAAGAAGTTGAAAAATTAAGGGAAAAAGTGAAAATGCCAAGGCATAGTTATAGGGGTTTGATGGAAGGGCTAATGGTGCCCACTAAGACCCGGAAAAGGGAATGCTCATCACCCTCGTCTTCATCATCAAGAATTCACAATTACAGATTGAATAAGCGGGCCATTTTGGTGGGAAAGAATCGGGTTGGGCTTGGGATCGGGTTGGGAGGATCCAGATCCAGTACCCCCGTGCCCACATGGAGAACTACTCCTCTGAGGAGCACCATTGAGTCTCCTAGGTATTCACAAAGTGGGAAGTCCACTCAACCTGTCTCGGCCCGGAAACTTGCAGCCACACTGTGGGGAATGAATGAGATGCCTTCACCCAGAATGATTGAGAGTAATTTGGAGCTACTGCAGCAGCAGAGGAAGAATGGCAGCAGTAAAATGATGCTTAAGCGGGATAAAATGCGGTCTGGATCGGGCTTGCTCTCAGGTTCTTTGCCGCCACATTTGTCTGATCCATCTCATAGCCCGACTATTTCCGAGGTGGGTTGGTGCTGTAATTGGTTTTTATAAGTCAATATATCTGCATTTTTCAATCCATACATTTTTTTATGTTCCAATGTTAAAATAGGTAAAGGAAAAAACAATAGCAGTGGTTGCTTATGTTTAGACCATGTCAATTTATTTAAGTTTTAGGAGAGAATTTTGCATTTACTAATTTATTTTCTGAGACCATGTTTGCCAAGTTCTAGTTGATGTTCTTTTCTTTTTTGGCTTCCACTGTGTGTATTTTGCATTTTGAAGTAGAAGTTATTTTTATAACTTAAAACTTCTCTTTTTGGTCGATGTAGAGAATGGATCGTTCTGGAAAGGGTCATCAAAGGGGGACACCATCAATTGTCCAGAGGCTTAGGTCTTCTGCGGAAAATGCCGGAGATTTTGATTCTCTAAGCAACGGTAGTTTTATGGAGGTAATGAGACTACCTTCTCTTGTCTTGTGGTTTGTTTGAATTTGGCTTATTTATAATTCTATTTTTTGTTTATTAGCTCCAAGATTAAACCAATCTTTGTTTCTTCTTTTTCATTTCAGTTTTATTTTCACATTCCATCTATGCTTTTTCTCCACATATTCTCTCTCTATTACTAGTACTGGTTCAAAAGAATTTTACGATCAAAAAATTGAGATGACTTATGATAAGATCCCCTTAGTATATTTTGAAGAACTGTATAAATCTCAACTGCAGATTGAGACTAGGTCTCAAGCGGAGACTCCAAGGGGATCAATAGGTTGTGCTAAGAATCGTCTTAAGGATATTAGCAATGCTTTGACCACATCCAAAGAGCTACTGAAAATTATCAACCGCATTTGGGCTCGTGCAGATCAACCTTCATCTAGCATGTCTCTTATCTCAGCGCTTCATGCTGAGCTTGAGAGAGCTCGTCTGCAGGTTAATCAGCTTATCCAAGAACAACGTTCGGACAAAAGTGAAATTAACCATCTCATGAAGTGTTTTGCAGAAGAAAAGGCGGCATGGAAAAATAAAGAGCAGCTAGCCGTTGAGTCTGCTATCGAGTCAATTGCTGGTGAATTAGATGTAGAACGGAAGCTTAGGCGTCGATTTGAGAACTTGAACAAGAAACTCGGAAAAGAACTAGCAGAAATGAAATCGTCATTCATGAAAGCGGTTAAAGAACTGGAAAGTGAAAAGAGAGCGAGAGAAATAACGGAACAGGTATGCGATGAATTAGCTCGGAATGTTGATGAAGATAGTGTTGAAGTGAAAAGGGAGTCTACAAAAGTTCACAAAGATGTTGGAAAGGAAAGAGAGATGCTACGGTTAGCTAACGAATTGTGTGAGGACAGAGTCCAGGTGAAAAACTCGTCTAAACATCAATTTGAAGAGAAAAGTTCTGCTATTAACAAGTTGAAGAAACAACTGGAAGCTTTCCTCGGATCAAAAAAAGTCAAAGATGAAGAAAAAAAGGCATATTTGAGTAAGTCTCACTTTGGTTTGCATCTGAATGAAGAAGAAGATGATGGAGAAGTTGAGGATGCTACGGATGACAAAGAAGATTCTGCAGAGAGTGATCTTCATTCAATTGAATTGAACATGGATAACAATAATAGAATCTTCAAAAAGGCTTATAACTCCATTGCTGGAGAGTCTAGAAGATTACCCATTGACGATGAAATCAAAGGGAGGAACTCAGTCTCCGGGCAGGTTTCTAGGAAAAGCACTTCTATTCTAAGGAGCATGTCAGACGGAGTCGAATGGGGTAATGAAGCTGCCAGTAGTCGAGACGGGTTGGATTGGGAACTCGAGAAGGAAGCTCCAAGAAGAAGTTACGTTGATGAAACACAAAGATACAAATCTGTAAAAGGTCTCAAAGATCATGCATTGTCTAGCTCTAGGTTAGGGCCAGTCCGAGAATCTCCGAGTCCTACTTGGCAAAGGGAGCAACCATGGCCTTTACGAGATGCTTCCGGTATCATTCAAGAAAGACCAATTGTCCTTCCTGGGAATGGTTCAAAGTCGAGACTTGCAGATGTCCGAGGGGAAGGCCAGGGTACCACCAGAAGATTGAAGTGGTGAGTTTTCTTGTACTTGTTAACTCTTGTGGACTACCTCATTGTTACAAATTTGAAAATCGAGTATTTACTCCTGGAAGCAGTACAAAGTGAGGCAGGTGAAGACCGTGGTTCGAGGAACATTAAGAAGTTAACATCTTGTTGATTTATGATTTTACTTTTGGAACCTCCAGCAGTAGTGCTCCATGTAGCTAGAAATCTGCTTGAAAACTATAATTACTACTGATTTTAGCTGAAGTTTTTTTTTTTTTTTTAATCGGTTTTATAGAAAGTTGTGTTCATTGAGTGAGATTTTTTTTTTTTTTTTGTACAAATGCATATGGTATAATTGAGTTAACCATGCTGCAATCATCACATTTTGCGTGATTTGTGCTGCTTTTCTTATTAATGCAAATTTATTGGTATTTACCTCCTTGTTTAGTGGAACCACCGCATTTCAAAGGCAAGATTTGTAGAGTTGCAATCTTTCTTTGGAATTCATGATGCATTTAGGCCCTGTTTGATAGGAAGAATTTTCCGATGAAGCTGGAAATTATTTTTCATTTCACACCATTTAGNTCAAAGGCAAGATTTGTTGAGTTGCAATCTTTCTTTGGAATTCTTGATGCATTTAGGCCCTGTTTGATAGGAAGAATTTTCCGTTGAAGCTGGAAATTATTTTTCATTTCCCACCTTTTAGGCTATTTGGTAGAAAAAATTTTCTAGGCAATTGGTTTTCCAACTTATACTTCACGTGACCCCATTTTCCGCATTTTCCTTAAATTGGTTATTCCATGGGTTCGATGGTTTTTGGTTTTCTAGGTAATTTTTTTTTTTTACAAATTCTATCCCCTTAATGAATAATTTTCATGAAAAACAAAGTCAAACGAACACTAAAAGATCAAAAATTTTAATATTTTTCAAGTGGAAAATTATACTAATAAAATACAATTAATTGACAATTTCCAGTAAAACAAGTTTTAGGCAATTCAATTCTTTAAAATTTGTTTTCTTTCCACCCAAATTTCATTTTTGTAATCAAACGGACCCTTATTTCATTTAGATACGTACAAAGATTT